ATGGTGTGTCGGAGTGGGTAAGTCTTATGGATAAGATGAAATGTGGATAATTGCAGGAGTTGGTGGCTGCAGTAGGCGAGCCAAGTCGATATATCTAGCAAGACTCATAAAAGACTAATAAAAATTCATTATTTTCATTAAAATTTTCATTAAGTCGGAGGGGGTAAGTCTTATGGATAAGATTATAAGGTAGAATTTCAAATTTCAGGTGTTGGTGGTTGCAGTGGGCGAGCCAAGTAGTTATACTAATTTCTCATTAATTAAGTTGTTACAGGAATCTCACTAGAAGCGAGCCAGTGGCAGTATGATGCTTTAGTGACATTAGTTGTGAAATTATTTTAATGAGGTATTTATTGTGATAATGTATGTGTATGTATATACTGTATATTACCTCATCGGCACCATTACTGAGTGTTAGGCATGAGAAGGTCCCCCGGGATCATGTCACAGAGCTTCAGGTAGAGTAGAAGGGAACCTATGAGGCTACACGCAGTTATTCTAGAAAAAAAAAAGGGGGGTGGAAGTGAAGCCAACGTGACGTTATAGGCGAAATTCGCCCCCTGACATCAAAGCAGGGATAAGGGCCAGCTGCAATGGTTTTGCAGCTGCGCTCAGGCTATATACGGGGAGAGAGTAAGGAGCCGAGGGGGTTATGTAATAATGGGATCGAGCCAGGGGGCTCCGAGGGAATATTTTGCAGGTACAGCGGTCGGGAAGGTGTGAATACAGGTGGACACACTCTGGGCGGATGGGCCTAGACCAGAGAGCTGTGAGGGATCTACAGCGTTCTGGGATTGGTGCCCTGGAACGAGACGTCAGCACAGACCCAAGGGAACATGACCCTGGGGTAGGAATCTCCGTTGCTCTGGAGGCCAGGATCACGTTACCTCAGAGCAACGATGGGACATTGACAACATTCACCAGGCTGGACAGCCTGGGTTTTGTCTGGGTCATGGAGGATCTATGACCTAGCAACCATGGGACACGAAGACAAGAGAAGTGATGCTGCCAATTGTGGAGGCCAGTGCAACATTGTGTGATCATTGTAAGCCCTTATGTTAACAGTACAGGGCAAGATGTTAAATTATTAACTTGTTACTAAGGATGAAGAACCTTAGATATATATGTGTTGTGTATATATTAATGACTAGTGTCATTTCTGTTTAAGTGCCAGCATTCTGGTCCATGTAATTTTATGGTTATGTTTGTATGTAATTATATGTCAGCAGTTTAGGTATATGTGCATTGTTGGAGATGGGAAAAATTATTTCAGACTATTTTACCTGTGCTATGATGTGAATATAATGTATATGTTGGAGAAGTGTTGTGAGTCATGTCGGGGAAAATTTTAATTTATTTCATTGTGTGTATGATGAACTTATTGGATGATTTTTTAGTTGTACACATATGGTGGGTGCATCCTCCAGGTCCTTGCACTAATGGAACCATTGCAATGATGCATATGGGGACATATGCGTGTTTAAGGAGGGGAGTGGTGTTGTAATCCACAAGTTAGTAGGAATTATTAGCTAGAGGATCATTACTACAACACTTAACGAATGATGATTGAAAGTACATGTAAGTAGACAGACTATGGATCACATATCTAAGAAAGGTCAATGGATTAAGACCGAAGCTGTTTAGCCAAATTAATAATTCCTGGAAAGAGGAATTATTCTTCGTCAGGCTTCTAGGAACAAGGTTACCGCTCTAGGGATAAGGTTAATCGGATTATACCTTCCTCAAGAGGCGTGGTGAAATGATTGAGGCCATGGTTGGCGGGAGTCAGTCTGATTGTGGAGGTTGAACTAGCAAGTCCTTTGGATCCCCGTTTGTGGCAGCAGCGAAGTGTAGCAGACAGCTATGCGAGAGCCTGTTGTGATCTTAGTGACCAAGTTAAGTCTGCAGTATGTGAGTATTGAATGTAAGACTAACCGGGTGTGGAGCGTTGTAGTAATCATTCCGTATTAGGGACTTAGGCGGAAGTTACGAGTGTGGGTGGTGATCGCGGAGGTCAAGTGGTCTATGGGTATTGGAAGTGTATTGACCTAATAGAGTATGTTAATTAATATATTATTATTTGTCAGAGTCTATTCTTTGTAATTAAATGACAAAACCCGACGGCCTTTAAATACCTTCCGTATGTTCATTCATTGTGTTCCAGTACAAACCTAGTGGTACGCCTCAAGGGTCTGGTGTGTGTAGGAGTACACGGTGGTAGTAACGGTTGCTGAGGCAAGGCGTTATGTGTTGTGTAATCGCTGTGTTCGGAATGAACCGGGGTTCAGCGTCACGACAAGGGACCAGCCACACACGAGTCCTCACCACAGGCTAGGGACCAGACAGCCACACACGAGTCCTCACCACAGGCCAGGGACCAGACAGTCACACACGAGTCCTCACCACAGGCTAGGGACCAAACAGCCACACACGAGTCCTCACCACAGGCCAGGGACCAGACAATCACACACGAGTCCTCACCACAGGCCAGGGACCAGACAGTCACACACGAGTCCTCACCACAGGCCAGGGACCAGACAGCCACACACAAGTCTTCACTACAGGCTAGGGACTAGTCACGTACGAGTCCTCACCACAGGCTAGGGACCAGCCACACACGAGTCCTCACCACAGGCTAGGGACCAGCCACACACAAGTCCTCAGCACAGGCCAGGGACCAGACAGCCACACAAGAGTCCTCACATGGGGCCTCGTAGGGGCCTCATAGCCTGGTGGATAGCGCGCAGGACTCATAATTCTGTGGCGGATTCGATTCCCGCACGAGGCAGAAACAAATGGGCAAAGTTTCTTCCACCCTGAATGCCCCTATTACCTAGCAGTAAATAGGTACCTGGGAGTTAGTCAGCTGTCACGGGCGGCTTCCTGGGGTGTGAAATTACCTAAGTGTAGTTAAAGGATGAGAGCTACGCTCGTGGTGTCCCGTCTCCCCAGCACTCTGTCATATAATGCTTTGAAATTACTGACGGTTTTGGCCTCCACCACCTTCTCACTTAACTTGTTCCAACCGTCTACCACTCTATTTACAAAAGTAAATTTTTGTATATTTCTCCGGCAGCTTTGTTTCGTTAGTTTAATCTATGACCTCTTGTTCTTGAAGTTCCCGGACTCAGGAATTCTTCCCTATCAATTTTATCGATTCCTGTTACTATTTTGAACGTAGTGATCATATCGCCTCTTTTTCTTCTATCTTCTAGTTTTTGCATATTTAATGCCTCTAACCTCTCCTCGTAGCGCTTGTCCTTTAGTTCTGGGAGCCACTTAGTGGCATGTCGTTGTACCTTTTCCAGTTTGTTGATGTGCTTCTTAAGATATGGGCACCATACAACCGCTGCATATTCCAGCTTTGGTCTAATAAAAGCCGTGAACAATTTCTTTAGTATTTCTCCATCCATGTATTTAAAAGCAATTCTGAGGTTAGAAAGTGTAGCATAGGCTCCTCACACAATGTTCTTAATTAATGTGGTCTTCAGGTGACAGTTTTCTATCTAGAACCACCCCTAGATCCCTTTCTTTGTCAGAATTCTTTAAAGATTTCTCACATAATTTATAGGTTGTGTGGGGTCTATGTTCTCCAATTCCACATTCCATAACATGGCATTTATTCACATTAAATTCCATTTGCCAAGTGTTGCTCCATATACTCATTTTGTCCAGGTCATCTTGAAGGGCATGACAATCATCTAAGTTTCTTATCCTTCCTATTATCTTAGCATCATCAGCAAACATGTTCATGTAATTCTGTACTCCCATTGGTAAATCGTTTATGTAGACAATGAACATTACCGGTGCAAGAACTGAACCCTGTGGTACTCCACTCGTAACATTCCTCCAATCCGATACCTTGCCTCTGATTATGGCCCTCATTTTTCTGTCAGTTAGGAAATTTTTCATCCATGTTAGTAGCTTACCTGTCACTCCTCCAATATGTTCCAGTTTCCAGAACAACCTCTTATGGGGAACTCTGTCGAAAGCCTTTTTTAGGTCCAGATAGATGCAGTCAACCCAACCATCTCTTTCCTGTAAAATCTCTGTGACTCGATCATAAAAACTGAGCAAGGATCTTCCAGATCGAAAACCATACTGTCTGATATTATATCGATTTCCTCCAGGTGTTCTACCCAATTAGTTTTAATTATTTTTTCCAATATTTTGACTTACACTTGTCAATGATACAGGTCTATAATTAAGGGGGTCTTCCTTGTTTCCACTTTTCCACCCTATTTCCACGTGTGTGTGTGTGTGTGTATTGTGGAAAAAAAAAAATTATTAGTAAACAGTTGATTGACAGTTGAGAGGCGGGCCGAAAGAGCAAAGCTCAACCCCCGGAAACACAACTAGGTGAATACATCAACAAACTGGAGAAGGAACACTTCAAGAAAAAAAAGAGATCATAGATTTAAACAAACTAAACAAAGCTGCCAAAGAAATATAAGAAAATTTACTTTGGCAAACAGAGGTAGACAGTTGAAACAAGTGAGATGATGATGGAGGCCAAAATCATCAGTAGTTTCAAGGTGTTATATGATATGATAGAGTACTGGGAAGACGGGACACCACAAGCGTAGCTCTCATCCTGTAACTACACTTAGGTAATTACACTTACCTAAGTATATTATGGAGGCCGCTGTCACTCACGGCTGAGTGACAGCGCTTGGGGGGTTGTAGTTCAAATGACAAGGGTTCGATTCCAGGCGGAGGCAGAAACAAATAGGCAGTTTTTTCACCCTGATGCACCTGTTCACCTAGCAGTAAATAGGTACCTGGGAGTTTGACAGCTGCTATGGGCTGCTTCTTGGAAATGTGAATACATAAAGCATACTTGGAGAGAGTTTCGAGAGTTCTTCCATTCCCAGCCAGTGTGTGTTGGAGAGAAATATATGTAGTAGACATAGAGTAAAAATAGATTGGTTAGAAAGACGGAGTCCAAGAGCTAATAGTTCGAGTCTGCAGGCACACATAGTAAACACTTAGGTAATTACTTTTTCTTGATGGTAGGTGTAGTGTAGGTAACTACAGGCCCCAGGGACACAGCCACACACGAGTCCTCCGCCAGTTACCACAACAATGAACACATCTTTATAAAGTTACTCCTTCCCCCCCAAATTTTTTACTTCGAACACATTATTGACTTCAAGAAATCTAATGTAAGGTATACGGAGACACGTTATAATTAACAATGTGTACTAGAGAGGAGTAGAGTGCCTGATGTTGAGGTAGGGTTATGACTTTGTAAAGGTGGGAGGCTCCAGCTGATCACATATCAACACGACTCTCTCTACTACATCAGTCTCTAATGTTCGCATAAATTGCCAAGTACTTTCATCACACCAAGGTATAAACTATTTATAATCATAAATTCTCTTGATATAGTTGACAATTGTTTAGGTAATTCGTAAATAGTTTGCCTAATCTGCTTGATAAGTGAATCCCATTGTTATGGCGGTGGTTCTCGGCTCATGAGCTTGAGGCCAACCGGTTGCCCAGGTCAGTACACCTGTCGCCTCATTTACTCTGTTTGTGCCTATATTCTACGAGGTTGGGGCAGGTATAGGCTTCTGCAAGAAGTCGTTTATGCAATAACAAGGTCAACTTAATTTCTGCCATCTTTGTCCTTGGAAGACGAATGGTGGTGGTGGTTTATGGTTATGGTCTACGAGGGCACGAGCGTTATAATTCTATTACCATTTTAGGTGAATATAAACAAAAACAGTAACCTTGTAATAGAAATCTGTGCTTTGGAGCATGGGTCCAGTGGGTCCTGGCTTCCAGTGAGGTGGGTATAAGATCTTCACTCTGCACCAAGGTTAAGCTGGGAAACTATCTGATGATACCTTGTGACCTCAGATGAAATATACATTGGGTGTCCTCTTTGGGCAGTGAAAAAATATTGTTTTAGACGTTACGATAAAATATCTACCCACTTAATGGGAAAACCATGCCCTGTCAGGCCTGCCTCCTGGTGAAGCCAGAGCCAGACAGCCACTGCATCCCAAAATCAAATCAAAGGTCTACAATGATTGCTTAATGCAAGAATTTTTTCATGTTGTAAATACAAATGTTAGCATTAGGCAACCAAGATGAGGTGGTTGTTGTTGATGTAAGGTTAGGGGGTGGCTCCAGTAAAGGGATGCTTGCACCCCCATCACTCCAGATGAAGCTGGAGGAATCCAAAGAACCAGCTGGAGCTCGCAGGTCCAGCTGGGCTGGTCACACGTTGTTTGTGTGGGGCTTGCAAGTAGTGAAACATGTGGCGGAGGGCTGCATGCCACATACAGTATCTTCATCCAGGCCTTGGCCATGAAGGAAAACTGGAAGCGAGAGGCAGGAAATCTAAATCTAGGACAGGCCGGGCCTAAGGTGGGCCCAAGCTGAGTAGTACTGAGGACAGTGCAGCATGAAATGCTTGATGGTCTCCTGACTGAGGCACCATGTGCAAGCTGGCAAATCCCAGATACCCAGACAGTAAAGATGGGTTGCCAGGTGAGACATACCCTGAGGTGAGTGATAATGGCAATCCATGCTATGGTCCCTATGTCTACCCCCATGGACTAGGAGATTCAGTAGCACCATTGCAGGTGTGATGTGTGGACTGGAATCGCAATCAGAGTTGTGAGCACCGCCTGACAGAGCCTGCGGAATGATTCCCGAGGTTCCATCGGGAGGGCCTCCAGGGAAGGGGGGGGGGCTGAGGTATGGGCCAAGGACACTGCTGCATCAACTATGACGTTCCCCTCCAGAAAACACAATAGCTCTACCTAGATGGCCCTCCATCAGTCATTAGAAGATCAAGGAATGCCTGGAAGCCAGGAGATGGAGGGCCAACTTGCAGTATATATAACACCACCTCACAGGAAGGTGATACCAGACAGAGCAGTTGGAGGGCTTTCAGGAGAGCAAATAGCTCTCCTTCAAGGCTTCCATGGTCTGGAGGAAGCATCCAAGTGTCGAATATTGACGACCCCAAGAAGTAGACCACTGCAGAGGTGGAGGAGATGGGGTTTTGGACTGGGAACCATGTGTGTAAATTGATAGATAGAGACCCCCCGTAACGAGTATTCGATAGCTCTAAGAGGGAGAAAGGTAGCCCGACCTTCATATGTAGACTTGTGGAGTGGGGGGGGGGAAGAGGGAAGGCAAGAACACTCTAAGCTAACCACAAACTGGCCCTCATACCATGATGGAAGAGAAGATACTGATGGAGATGGTGCCAGTTCTAGCCAATGGGAAGAATGATACCTTGATACAGGGTGTTCCCAACCTCCAAAGCCTATGCACCAGTCTCAACCGCAGGAAAGTAAGCAAAGGGGGGTAACACTCCAGCAGTGTGTGAAGGTGCAGGCACTCATGTTACTGATGTGCCATGTGAAGAGGTACAGTCCCCAGCACCGGCAAAGAGAGTTGGAATCGGTGAGGATACCACAGCCCCCAAAGCAGTGAGGAGAGCCGTTTGTTGGATGGGGGGTCCAACAGAGAACAGGCCAACCCATAAGCTGAGCATATATAGATGAGCCTGCTCTCAATGGGCACTGCATATAGGGATAGCAGGGAGTCCCTAGAGACACCCCAAACTGTCCCCACAAGGTGTTTCATGTCCACCTGGCGAAGACGAAGCTCAGAGATTTCTCACGTGTGGCTCCCATGTGAGGTGTGAGGCATCAAGCACCATACCCAGCCATTGATACGACGAGACCAGGGGCAGGGTCTGGCCCTGGACTACAATATGTGGGAGGACAGGGCAGCATCTCTTGGTAAAACACATGAGGGTACTCTTCGAGGGACTTGTAGCAAGGGCCCTGTGGTCAGCTCACTCCTTGAAGGCCGAAACTGTCCCCCCCTGTAATCAGGCCTTCATTTCAGTGAGAGATTGGCCACTGCAGAAGAGATGAGGATAGTGCAGGATGAGCTTTTGTGGTATGTTGTGGTACTACAGCCAATATGTTGTATACTGTAGTTATAAGGGCTTAGCACTTTCTCTTCACAGTTACCTTACCTTTCCTTGATGCTACAGCAGGCAGATACTAGAGACAAAATCCTAGTGAGACAAAGCCCTAGTGAGTCTTGCCTACTAGAAACCAGAAGCAAAATCTGGTCCACTCAGTAGAGGCATGGGAGTCTGGGAATACAGTATTAGATTAAATCAGGCAAAGAGGGGAAAAATGAAAATTGTTCATGGCCAGAAGCAGATCCAAACATTCCAACCACCAGATGAGGCGATGATGCAGCAAGCATCCTTGGACCTTGCCCAGGCATGGACAGAGGCTGATGGAGTTGTATGAAGAAAATAATGTTGTGCCTTTTGCTTGGCTTCAAAAAAAAAAAAAGGAGAGATCTTAGATCTTAGGTCCGAATCCAGATCTTAGGAATGACCTCAGTAGACTAGCTGCTGTTGAATATCTAAAATAGGATTCACTTGAAGGACTCTGGCGCATGAAAAAAGAAGGCATAAGAGATGTCTTATCCAGCAATAATATTGGGGGACATCCTGGAGAATGCTTTTGCTAGTTTTGGGATAGTGAATGGGCAGGGTGCCCTTTATAATGCTGTGTTTGTCAATCTTCTATCCCTGGTCCCTTGTTCCAAGGCCCAGTTGTCCCAGGTGGTTAAATTTAGCCACCCATGATCACAAGTTTGCAGCTTGTTCCACTTTCTTTGCTAATACAGTGTCGTGGCAAAAGCTTCAGACTTGAGATTTGGTATTCTAACTGGATGTATGTTCTTCGACAGCACCTGGGTGGCATTGGTTTGGATGACCTGCTGCTGATTCTCTTTTTGAGTTACTGGATCCTCCTTCCTCTTCCCCTGATAACCCCTGCTTTCTTTGTGTTGGTGAGATATCTCGGGAGCCACCAGGAAGCCACTTGGGTGAGCCCTCCCATAAATCTATGAAGTGTTGAATGAAATAAAAATAAAAAACTCTTTCTGATGGCTCCTCATTTCTGCCCCTCCTCTCTTCCAAGGTGTCTTGGATCATTTTTGGGCAGTGCATGTGTGAGGTAGTCAGCTGGCAGGAGCCCTCTGATGGTTTAGTGTAACTAGTGGGTGGGACTGTACATAGTTTGGCAGAATTACCAATATTTTTCTTTGAAGTTGCTTGTTTTGGGCCACTACTCTTTTGGTGTTTCTTCCCCTTGGCCTGGTTTGATCTAGTAGTCCCAGACTCCCATGTCTATTTTGAGTGGACCAGATTTTGCTTCTCGTCTCTAGGAGGAGGTGCTCATAACTCTCAAAGGCCTAGTGGGAAGATCTTTGAGAGTCATGAGTCATGAACGATATGGAAGAAAATGCAGAACAGAACCAGTGAAGAGCAAAGGTGCCATAGGCACAGTCAGAGAACACTGTATAACATCAGAGGTCCACGGTTGTTCAACGTCCTCCCAACGACTATAAGAAATATTGCCGGAACAACTGTGGACATCTTCAAGAAAAAACTAGACTGTTTTCTAAAAAAATGCCGGACCAACCGGGCTGTGGTGGGTATGTGGGTCTGCGGGCTGCTCCAAGCAACAGCCTGGTGGACCAAACTCTCACAAGTCAAGCCTGGCCTCGGGCCGTGCTTGGGGAGTAGAAGAACTCCTAGAACCCCATCAAGCAGTACAGTATTTTGTTGGTCAAATATGTATATAATGCATGTCAAACAAGTGCATAATTGCTTGTTACTATACCTGTAGTTTTAATAATTTGTAAACAAAAACTATTTTATTGTGATGTAATGGTTTTTATACCAAGATGCAAATCAAGTTAAGTTGAAAACCTACTTTATAATTTAAGTAATTTGATCTACTTGTAGACCATGCATACCATGTAATTTTGTTTAGCTTAGTGGTTGGAATCGTCTGGGTTCTATTTATGTGAAGCTTCCAGTGAACTGTATGTTAACAGCTGCAAGTTAATTTTCGTATAGTATAAAGGGGATATACACACATTACCTAGACAAGTATAACTGGATGTATCACTAGTCATAGGTTACATTAGCTATACTGTGTACAATTTATAGAAGTAGATGTTTTGTTTCCATAAAGTATTTACATTGTACTTTTCATTATAAAGGAATGGCACTGAGAAACCTAGGGACAGCTTTATCAAGGCTGTCTTTGACTACCATCACCAGAGGTGAGTATGGAGCTTACATATTTTGTTTTTATCTTCACTTGTAGGTATAGGAGTGGATGACTTCTGACACCTGTTAGCAGGTTGAGAGCTTTTGCTTCCCATATCTCATGGTAATCTTTACCCTACTAGTTTTCTCTGGAATAAGACCCACCAATCGGTTAACAACCAGGTACCCAATTACTATTGGGTGAACAGGGGTGAATAGTTAAGGATTGGCACTACAGTACTAGAGAAGATAAGAAGCTTGGATGATTATCATGCTCTTCAAGATGACCTGGACAGAATAAGCAGCCATCTTCCTGTTTGGGTCATACAGTACTGTACTTACAGTAATAATGAGGACCATAGTACCTTACCTTGAGGTTACCTTGAGGTGCTTCCGGGGCTTAGCGTCCCCGTGGCCTGGTTGACGACCAAGCCTCCTGGTTGCTGGACTAGTACATACAGTATACTGTATAAACGTACAATGCAATTAGAAAGTTAAAATCTGTACTATTGAAGTTGGACAAACCGGAACAGTTTCGTATTTATGTTGCAAAGACAACCTACACTAACGTAAGAAACTTAGGTTACTAACGTAACCTAACCTTCTTAGGCCAAATACACGCTATCTGAGGCCTAATATAGTACATGTGTGCTATGCTAGACCTAAGAATATTTAAGTTTGCTTTTTAGCTTAATTTTTTTTTGGACTCTTATAAAGTGAATAGTACCAAGTTTTACTATCAAATTGCTTAGTACTTCAATGTTTGTATTATGGTGCACATAGTTACAAAAATTACTATCTAATCAAGAGGATGGGTTGAAATATAAGTGTATAAAGCAACACTTGGCAGATGGAATTTAGTGTGAATAAATGCCATGTTATGGAATGTGGAATAGGAGAAAATAAGCCACACACAATTTATAAATTATGTGAAAAGGCTTTAAAGATCTTTCCTGGTCTCAGGCTGGGCTCAGGGAGTAGAAGAACTCCCAAAATACTCTCCAGCTATGCTCCAGGGGTGGTTTTGGATAGAAAACTGTCACCTGAGGACCACATAAAGAACATTGTGTGAGGAGCCTATGCTGTGTTTTCTAACTTCAGAATCTCTTTTTAATATTTGAATAGCAAAATATTAAAGCAATTATTCACAACCTTTGTGAGTCCAAAATTGGAATATGCAGAGGTTGTATGGTGCCTATATATAAAGAAGCACATCATTAAACTGGAAAAAGTACAAGGACGTGCAACTAAATGGCTTCTGGAACTGAAAAACAAGAGTTACTAGGTCAGTGGTGTTAAATATACCAAAGGTTGTAGATAGAAGAAAAAGTGGTGATAAGATTACTATGTACAAAATAGTAACAGGAATTGACAAAATTGACAAAGAATAATTTTTCAAAACTGCACCTTCAAGAGCAAGAAGACACGAATTCAAACTAAGGAAACAAAGGTGCCGAAAAAATATTAGATACCGGGTAATTTACTTTTGCAAACAGAGTGGTAGACAGTTGGAACAAGTGAGAAGATGGTGGATGCCAAAGCTGTTAATAGTTTCAAAGATCTCTAACCATGCTTCCTGGTTAACCAAGCTATTGGACATTGCTGGATGCAGCTGATGTAGTAATTACAGCCTAGTTGATCAAATACCCATAAGTTGGTGTTTATCAACTTACCTCTTAATGCTGAAAAAGAAGGGAATTAAATTGCTTGAACCTTTAATATTTACAGGAGCATATATGGAGCATATTAAATATTTTTTGTCAGGAATGAATGCTAGTACAGTATCAACTAAAAGCATGAGAACACCAGTTTGGCTAGAGCTTCAGTTGTACAGTAGTTATTCAGTAGCAACGAAAATAAGAATCCATGGCCAATTTGTTAAATTAAAATACTTTAAGTACAGTACTTGTTTTATAAATACCGATCATATGATGTTTACAATATTGAGATGGCCAATCAGCACTTTGCTGGCCGACCCTGGGCTGGTGTAAATTAAAGAATACTGACCTGTCTTCACACCTCTTGTGTTTTTACCTAGTTTAACCCTTGAACTGCACAAGGGTTACAGGGGCATTATCTATATACACAAAGGAAATTTTTCCAAAATAGTTTTGAGCATAGGAAAATGTCAACAAAATCATGTCACTTTGGGTGCATCGAACAATCAGTTCTGAATGAGGTCATCACATCTCGTTCAAAAACGGGCAGGTCGGTATCGGAATCACCAAGTCACTTACAGACTCGGGTGCAAGATTGTCATTAATTTTGTCCTGTGTAAGTGATATGTATTCGTGAAAAATGTCACAGTACTGGGTTGGGAGTTACTGTTCCGTCCTTCAAACTAACCACCTGTGAGCATGGTGGGTTACCCTTAATTTGTTGGGCACTGATTGGGAACCATGTGCACCCACAGGAGTTTCTAATGTTACAGGGTACCTAAAGCATCTCTGGATGGTGTGTGCACCATGGGTCGAACATCTAAGGATGTTGTGCACAATGTAGGGGTTAAGAGTGCTGTCTGCAGTCACAATCACTTCACTGACAACTGAAATGTATTGTCATTGGACTCAGTCACAGTCACTCAGTCCAGCCACAGTCATCAAAGTTATCAGTCCACACACTTCACAGCTAGTCATATGACTGTCAACAGTCACTCGAGCACAATCAGGTTGTCTCGGTAGGTGGATCAGCACTTGTCAAATTCCTCAGTATGTTCCTTCATTCTCTTCCTCCAACACGCTTTACAATTTTTATTTAATGACTGTATATCTGGTTACGTCCTGTATGTGTTCATCTCCATGTCACTTCTTCATCAACTGATGTGCTTCGGCCTTCCTCGCTAACGGCATCCCTTTTAATCTTTTCCTGCAGTTGTCACATATCATTTCTTCACTATTCACATGTGGCAGTTCTACCTCAGCATGTAGGTTCTACCTTAATTAGAAGCAAAGTAATGACTTTTGTTTCTTTGAGCTTTCAAGGTGCAAAAGTGTTGCATTTTTTGCTATCACAATGGCAATCCTGCTGTATGAATGTCATGCATTACTGAGGGCTACAATTTTGCATATATATATATATGATCGTGTACTTTAAACATCCTATCAAATTTCATGTAAATCAGAGATGGTAGGGTTGGGAGCTGTGAGGATTTGGCTCTGATGAGCTGTGACCTGGAGGTAGAGAAGGGTGGGAGGAGATTGTAAAAGGGGGTGGGGGGTGCAAGATCAGAGAGGTTGCAAGGCAGGGAATTGAGGGGACAAGTTACACGGCGGAGACGGGGTATTGGTTGTGAATCGAGGGCAGTGAACAAGTTTCGATGGGAGAAGCACAGGTGAAGGGAAAGTTTAGAAATGGGAAATACAGTGAGAGTTAGGAAAGCAGGCAGGCTGTCCACCTTACTGACATCATGTGTGGGTGTAGGCAGCTAAGCTAAGCTTGCTCTCTCTTGTCGGGAAGCTGTGAGTGTGTGAAAGGTTCCTCAGGTGGAATGCATTGGGCAGTGATGTGGTAGAGTTTGATTCCATACACAGTTTTAAATGTAGATATGATAGAGCCCAGTAGGCTCAGGAATCTGTACACCAGTTGATTGACAGTTGAGAGGTGGGACTAAAGAGCCAGAGCTTAACCCCCACAAGCACAACTAGGTCTGTACACAGTGGTGGCTGAGTGGACAGCGCTCTAGACTCGTGGACCAAGGGACCGGGGTTTGATCCCCGCAGCCGGCTGAAACAGATGGGTAGTTTCCGTCACCCTGATGCCCTTTTACCTAGTAGGGCTGCTTCCTGTGTACTCACCTAATTGAGCTTGCGGGGGGTTGAGCTCTGGCTCTTTGGTCCCGCTTCTCAACTGTCAATCAACTGATGTACAGATTCCTGAGCCTACTGGGCTCTTATCATATCTACATTTGAAACTGTGTATGGAGTCGGCTTCCACCACATCACTGCCTAATGCATTCCATCTGTTAACTACTGACACTGAAAAAGTTCTTTCTAATGTCCCTATGGCTCATTTTGGTACTTGGTTTCGACCTGTGTCCCCTTGTTCGCGTACCACCCGTGTTAAACCGTTTATCTTTACCCCTGTCAATTCCTATGAGAATTTTGTAGGTAGTGATCATGTCTCCCCTTACTCTTCTGTCTTCTAGTGTTGTGAGGTGCATTTCCTGCAGCCTTTCTTCGTAACTCATGCCTCTTAGTTCTGGGACTAGTCTAGTGGCATACCTTTGGACTTTTTCCAGCTTCATCTTGTGCTTGACAAGGTACGGGCTCCATGCTGGGGCCGCATACTCCAGAATTGGTCTTACATATGTGATGTACAAGATTCTGAATGATTCCTGAATGCTGTTCTGATGTTAGCCAGCCTCGCATATGCCGCAGACATTATTCTTTTTATGTGGGCTTCAGGAGACAGGTTTGGTGTGATATCAACTCCTAGATCTTTTTCTCTGTCCGTTTCATTAAGTACTTCATCTCCTATTCTGTATCCTGTGTCTGGCCTCCTGTTTCCACTGCCTAGTTTCATTACTTTGCATTTACTCGGGTTGAACTTCAGCCATTTGTTGGACCATTCACTCAGTCTGTCTAGGTCATCTTGTAGCCTCTTACTATCATCCTCTGTTTCAATCCTCCTCATAATTTTTGCATCATCGGCAAACATTGAGAGAAACGATTCTATACCCTCTGGGAGATCATTTACATATATCAGAAACAGTATAGGTCCAAGGACTGACCCCTGCGGGACTCCACTTGTAACGTCTCGCCAATCTGAGACCTCACCCCTCACACTGACTCATTGTCTCCTGTTGCTTAGGTACTCCTTTATCCAATGGAGTACCTTCCCTTTCACTCCAGCTTTTTCACTAGCCTCTTGTGTGGTACTGTATCAAAGGCTTTCTGACAATCCAAAAATATGCAGTCTGCCCACCCTTCTCTTTCTTGCCTTATTTTTGTTGCCTGGTCGTAGAATTCAAGTAATCCTGTGAGGCAGGACCTGCCATCCCTGAACCCATGTTGAT